AGTATAGCTCTTTGGACCTCGGCCAGTAATTGAAAAGTGTGGCAGGTTATTTTTCTTTCCTTTTTTGGGGGGGTTCACTGTATTTTCTTTGACCATGCATGTTTACTCAATCAGCTTTGCCAGATGAGACTCTTTCCTCCCCTCTAAATCGGCAAAACATCCTGGATGTGGAAAACATTAAATTGGGAGATAGACTTTACATTTCCTGAATTGGTTTTGTAGGGCCAGCTTGTGCAAACCAATCAGCGGCTCATAGGGGCATGTCCTCAAATAAGGTCAACCTTCCCCAGCCCCAGTCAGCTGTGAATTACAATACATCTGCAAGCAATTAAGACGTAGAATGGCTGCCTAGATATACTCAGCCCCAGTAATTTCCCGCAGACTTCCTCCCGGTCTGGGCTTTGGAGTACATTTAGCACCAAGGAAGGAAATTTAATTAGAAATGGCTAATGGCTGTGTAGGATAAAGTAGATGAGCAGGCACCTCTGTAATGTAGGTCGTGCGGAGCCCCGCGCACACGCGTGCAAACACGGAGGGGCTCAAACATGATGATACATGTGCCTGCACATACCCCCCCAAAAACACACGCTAACAAACACACATCATTAAGGGGTTTTGCTTCTCAACAATATTTTGTCATAAATATCAATTTAGAAATGTGCTCAAAATGTATCAAGTGTCTTTCTAAAGTTGAATGTAATCATTTGGTATGCCCAGCCATCATGACATCCTTCAGCATGCATGTTTCGTGATGTCCTCTTTTTGTATTGAGCAGTCAGAACATTACTCTGTGAAGTTCACATCAGTCACTGTGAAATTGCTACACAACATGGCACAGCCAAATGCGTGCTTCCCCAGCAGAAATACACGTACATGTATGTGCACATCCTCACATTGGGAGGAATGAGATTAGCAATAGTGCCAGGGAATCATGCACGTCCCATGCCTGTACTTCAACTACTCTTCATGTTCCTATCTTCTTCCTTTTTTCCCCTTGTCCCAGTTGCTTTGATGTGTGAAACTCTTTGTTTCTTGTTCTGTTTTTCACCCCTCTCCCCCTTTCCCCACGGTTGGTTGTACTCCCCCCGAGATCGATAACTGAATGCGCTGCTAGGCTTGGTCATTATTGAGTAAACACTTAAGCGGGCTTGGGTCATGCCACCAGCTTAGGCCTGCACTAATCAACGGGTACAGGGAAGTACTTCTCGACGTTTTTCTCGATGACTGAATGAAAGGAAGAGAGAGGGGGAAAAAAAGAGCAAAGAAGGAGAATTGTTTGAAGGAAAGACAATATCTGGAGCATGTACCTGCATTTAATTAAGCAACGGCCACGATTTGCTCGGTACACTCAGCCTTGTGTGCTGAGAGTGTAGCTTCTACCGCGTTCGGATGCGTGATTGCAATTTCTAATGGGACTTTATGATGTTGCCGTTATTGAATCGAGGTGCTGAAATAATGGACCAGAATTAAGAATCAAGATGCCCGGCCAAGGCTTCTGGGGAGCTAGATGAATGTTCTGTCCAATTTCCAGTTGCGAGTTGGAGTCCTAAACTAGTTCATTGGCTGAACTCTGTTTGCTCAATTCTTACTCAATTGGTGTTGGTATTGAAGTAACAAATAACTAACTGACATATCTCCTTAAAGAATGGCATTTACATTCATGTACTCATAGTTAAATTTGTAATCTTCAACAGATTTATTTTTAATTGCATACAATATGAGTTCCACCTTTTGCAAGTGTTACTGTTCAAACATTGGAGATTCTTATTGACTGTTTAATAACTAGCCACGCATGATGGAAATAGCTTACAAGTCCCTCTAAACTTGAAAGACATTTTCTGCCCAACCTTTTTTTATTTAATCAATTCAAGTCTTCATGAAAAGGATAAAATATTACAATGTACATCAAATTCATGTATTGACTTCTTTTAGTCAGTGTAATTGACTTGTGCCTTTCCACTTGTGCCATTTGTCTCTAAGATTACCCTTTACTTCAAGCCATATCTAAGGTTTGTTCCCAGGCGCGATGCCAGCAATCCTATGAGATGACTGCACAATCTAATCATTGGATTTTTTTTTAATTCAGAGATTTTATGCCTTTCTTTGCATCAATGTAACTATGATTTACAAGTCATTTGCTCCAAACTGTCTTTGCCAGTAACTGCATGTCAGTACAGTCTCCATTTCCTCATGAAGTAGCCCTTGTAATTTGGCCCCGTCATTTCCACGATTCTGACACATCAATTACTGTGCTGTTTGACTGGCGCTCACATACATCTAGGCCTGTGTACACTATTACCCTATCCCTCACCTCTCCCCCCCAAGAAAAATTAAATAGGGTCCTGTGTATTTTGTCTGCTGCCCTCTATCTAAATCCATCACTTGGTCACTCACATACACTTCCTTGTATGGTACCTGGTGTCATCCCATATTTTCCTCTATACACGTACATGTACTTTGTGAATATAGATAAATGGTTTACTTTGTTCCCTCAGTGACAAGGTGTGGCAGTCAGTGATTTCCTAACTTAAAACGTAACATACATTCATCTAAACATTATAGTAAAAATGAAATGGCAAGTGTTAATGAAACATAACTGCTTACATGCCAACCATTATGCTACCCCAATAGAGCCCATATTCCTTGAGTCCCTTATTGAAATTTCCATTTGATCCTTTTCAAGACTTAAAGTGTCATTATGAAGACAAATATTACATTACATTAAATTGCAACTGAAAGGACACTCATGTAGAGAGAGAAATCAAACCATTAGTTTAGAATCTTTGCCTTCAGTCATCATTTTAGGGGTGATTACTGTACTAGATCCATCTGGTTTATTTATGTAAGAATAAAGTCAGTGTAACAGGTATTCATGCACCAGGGAAGGCTAAGGCCAGTGTTTGTTTTTCTTTATTGGATTATGAACATACGATGAAATTTGGCAGGGTCAGTAGGCAGAAATCAACTTGAAATTTTAAAGTTCCACCTTTTTACATACAACTACCTTTAAAAGAAAGAAAGTATTTTTTGGTATATTAAGAAAAACAAAATGACATTTACCGGTAGTTTAATTTTTCTGGCTGACTCCAAATGCTACGTCCAATACAGTCCGTTTTTTCTCTCCAACAAAAACAAAATCCTGCATTGGGGAAACAATGTTACTGTTTCCGAATGATTATTTTTTTCAAAATTGCATTGTTTGCACACTACAGCAAGCTCATAATCCAACCAATAAAATGATAGCCTTACAAACTTTTCTGAAGTGAATGCATTCGTACAATGAAAGCAGGAGACAGGTTGGCTGATTGGCCATCTTCACCTGTAATGTTTATTTGTGCGGTCAGACAGTCAGTCAGACAAATTAAATTTGCTAGTAAAACATGCTTTAAAAGTATGACTTGTGACCAAATGATTAAATCAATACACCTGTTTACATCACAACTATAAAATTTGAGTTTATAGTATGATTTCAGTTCTTCGTGTTACAATAAATTGCTTTGTTACTTCAGGACTAATTTGGAGACTTGTATGATTAGTTTTTCCAGCAAACACTATCATGAAAAATGTGTATTGTATCGATAGAGTAGTTCAGTAATCACGCTCGTAATTCCCAAAGAGAATGTAGTGTGCAGTACACCAGAACTCTGCAGTATGTTTTACCTTCTTGGTGATGATTATCTCAAATTATAAATACTATCACATGTACACTGTACATAATGTACAAATATACTACCATAGTGCTGGGAGTTGTTTGTAACAAATATTGGATGGCTTCAGAAAGGTCTGTGTATGCATACGTGTGCATGTAGATAATGGGATAATTGGAATACTAAATAGGATAAATGGCTTCTGAGAACCAGAAGGAACGTACATAATATTGAGCTCTTGACTCATGGAAAAGGTTACAAAGCAAATCAGGTGCAGATTCAGGTTCGGCTCATTAAGGGGGTTTAGTTGTGGGGGGAGGGGGAGAGACCAGGCATCTTTTTGCTGTGTTTACTTTTGTTTTCCTATTTTTGGCACCCTGGGGGATTAAACCGCTGGCCTCCCCTCTCCTCCCTGATCTGCTTTGTGGAAAGGGAACGGAAATCCCATTTCCTTCCTGTCTTTTACATCTCATCTAGCACGTAATGTATCGGTACCTAATTTTCTGGTGTTTAAAATGTGAGCAGTCCTTCCCACAAATTCATTCCGGTGTTGAAAGGAATGGGGTCTACAAATGTCATTAATTGGTGACACATACCATAACCGCTGACGATGCTGCCAGTGCCCATAGAAGTGTGAGAGGTTTGACGAATTCCTCAGTGTCTAAAGATGGATGTTAAGCGGCACGATTGCCAGTGGGGCTCTTTGCAGTACTTGCCACTGCGCTCTCTGAATGTGAAAAAAATTAGGGCACTTGAGCAGCATTTCCGTCACACTATCAAGCTCAGACACTGTGAATACACTTGTGAATACACCATCATTTTTTAATCGTTGAATAGGCCCTCATGCACACCTGAGTAGGCCACTTGCACCCTCTGCAGTGCATGTATACAGCCAATGGATTCAGACTTACGTGGTTTTTAGGGCAATGTTTGAGTTTATATTGTGCATGCTTACATGCACAATACCTGCGTCTTTCCATTTCACAGTAAGCTTATAAAGAAATTGGCAAAGCCACTGTAAGTGTGTCACACAAATGTTACCAGTACCATTAAGTGTAACACATTGAACACATTGAGTGTATGATATACAGATTAATACATGAGCCAATACTTGCAGTATCATTCGTCTGGGATACTTAGTGTTTCAATTCCCCAGGCCCACGATTAAAGTTGTACTGTTTTTCTCTGTGCAGTAAGCTGTTTATGAAAGGTGTTTTACATATGTGGTCATTGTTGTCTGCTGATTAATTAATCAGGCTACTTTTTCATCTTTTGATAGTCTGGTTTGAGACAAAAATTATGTTCATCTCGCAGTGCTAGTCTTTTTAATGTCACCAATTTGTTTTGTTCCAGATTATGCAGCTTGTGTCTTCTAAACTTGATGCAGAAACTCAGTGGCTCCAAGATCGAGAACAGGTAAGTTGTCACTTCTCTGGTCACATACATGTAACTGGAAAAAATGTACTTTGGTATTGGCCCTGTGCATGAACTCAAGAGGGCATTTTGTACACCAGTGGAGATGTCTAGCAGGGCCAACAGCTGTGTTAACGAGCTTTGACGGCACACATACCGCATGGACAAATGCACAAATGTGAAAATGAGTCACAAGGCCATTGTGTTGGCAGTAATGTTGTTTAATTTTCACAGATGATTTTCACAAATGATTTTCAGTTGATAATGTTTATAGCCATATGGTGTTTGCATGGCATGTAGAATGCATACCAGCTGTGGTGTTCATCTGTTTGCTCAGCCTTTCTCTTTGTCACCAGAGAGGGCGTCCTTTTGCACGCACTGGTACATGTAGTTTTTCGGGGTGGACTTCTGGCTTGTGGTACACATGTACATGTATTTGTTCAGAAAGATTTTTCTTTACTTATTTTTGCCAGCCCCATGTATGTATTTGGAAGTTCCAGGTGATCTTTTGGTTCACCTGATATGTAGTTTTGCTGAAGGAAGTCTTTGGGACTTCTGCCCTTCCTTGAAGTTTCCAAGAATTCCTTATTTGAACAAATGATTGTTTTGGATTGTCATGTATGGGAATGAGCAGATAGTCTCAACCGGGATTAATTACTAAACATATTCAGTTTCTCAGCTCACGTCGTGACACTATTAGGTGTAAAAAATAACTGCTTGTCATGCATGTACAGGTCCGACTAAAAAAATAAAGATGAAGAATTATTTCTGCTGTCTGTAATTTTGTAGAAATGCCCAAGGATGCTCAGTTAAGACTTCAGAATTACTTGCTTGAGTAACTGCTGGAGATACACGTGTACATCACATTATGAGGAACGCTGGACATTGTACATGTATGTCACTATGCAAACTATATGTGGCCCCTTTTTACGCTACCTCCATTGTCATGGTAACCTCATTCTGTATCGATTTGGAGTTCGTACTGTATTACATTTTGTTGTAAAAACAGTGACGGCCGCATACACTGGGGAGATTCTGTGTCCAGACATATACATGTAGTGATGTGGAATGCATACATGTACACTGTACATGTACATTGTACATGCTCACAACCATAGCATAGTGCAGTTAGAATTGTGGCTTTTCAAAACACTGTGCAAATATATGCAGGGACTGCCGGGATGCCATCAGCCTACCACTTCCCTGGAAAAAAACTCTCTGATGGAAAAAATATTCTCTATAACGAATGCCCCCCCACTGCTTTTTGTGACTTAACTGGGCCAACTTGTCTTGTCATTTTTGCTGTATCTACTGATTGAAAATGCCATTGGTCTGAGCCAGATGCTTCTCTTTATGACCTAATGATGGTCTATATTGCTGTTCTTGTTTCTCATGGGAATACCCTCTGATACAGTCAACTTTCATGTACAACAACATTGCTGGGATCAGTCAAATTCCTTTGTCATTACCAGAAACTTGGTATAAAATGGCTTGAAAATAAAGAAAAACGGGGAGGATTGGGATCCTAAGCAGTTGCTCTTTATAATAGTGGTTTGTCATTAACAGTGCTCTTTGTAACAGGAGTTGATTGCATTACTTGCCTTTATAACTGTTTCAGACTCTAGCTAATGTGTCCATTTCTCGTATCGAATGCATTTAGGCACTGGTCCAATTCAACCCCCCCCCCCACCTAAAAAACCTCAGTCAGATTTCTTTTTAAACTTTCTACCCTTTTGTCTAGTTAATTCTAACCTGAAGATGAAGAGCTTTCCAACATATGATGGTAAATTAAATGTGATCCATTCCCTAGGTATGACCTACATGTATGCATTGTTACATTTGGTTGGTGGTAGGCCCTGTACTTTCAAACTTGAATATTCCATTTTGCCAGAAGTCATGAAAATATGACATAATACAGATCTCTAGAGAAAGAACAGCAGTAAATAATGCTAGTTCTGTCAAAGGAGTCAGCACTGCTGTCCGTATATTAAAGAACCCTGATCATTTTTTCCAGGGCAACCAAGTACCGAATGCCATGTTTTGTTACCATGAACTACCAAAATAGAAAGATTTATACCTGCTTAGTGCACACTAAAAGATAATTAAGCTCATTAATCCCATCCTTTCTTTTTTTGCCTCAATGCCTTTCTTTTCCTATTGTTCCACTGAATTTTTCAAGACACAGCATTTAATGCAATTTACAGAGCATATTAATTGCATTATCTCTTTTTCCTGCCCGCTAATCGGTGCTTAAATCCTCAGAAAGGGAAGCTGCAGTCGGCCAAAGTCCTGTCAGCATGCAGAAACTTGTCAGAGTCAAACTGGCCAAGGGAAGAGTGGGATTTGTGATGTAGATTTCCGCTGGATTTTTAATTATGCCGTCCAGCACGCTGGAACTCTCTTTCTTCTCTTCTTCCTTAGCTGGGCCAGGACTCAGAAGGATCCTTAGGGACAAGATCTTAATTTCTTGATTTTGATAGAGGGGATTAGCAAGAGCCTGTGATACTAGGGTGACACAGTGGGGTGGTAAATGTCATGTGGCATGTAAGCAGGCTTCGCCTTTCCTGCCATTTTATGGCAAGTCATTGCTGAATTTGCACTGCATACCCAAATACTTCAAGTCCAATAGAGATCTTATCCCAAAGCCCTTGCACCTCTGCTGTATTATGAGAACATCTTCCAAATTTTTAATTCAGTCATTAACATTTGTAATTCACTCTACATGTACATGTACATGTAACGGATATACACCGTCATTTTTCTCCAGCCTGCCCAAAAATGTAGCACTTTACAAAAATGGTCGATCAAATTATTATAGGATTGGTATCAAAATATTTGCAAGACATGGCATGGGAAAAATGTTGCAAGGACAGAGTAATAATGGTGGGGTTGTTTCCCTGTGTACACGCATGCTGTGTTTTATGAGGATTGCTTGAACCCTTATGCTAATGGCATTAGGACGTTCGCAAACATATAAGTTTATCGTGTATGTGTACATGTACCCTGTTTTTTGCTTCCAGCATGCAGAAACCCACTTCACTGAATGGTTTTGTACAGTAATACAGGATTCAAGCAACCAGTTTGTGATGGAGTCCATTATAAGTCCTCGCAAGTTCAAAGCCATCCATCCAGTCACACTAGTTAAGTTACAGGCTTTGAAATGATCTGTGACAAAAGCATTTCTTTTTCTTTGCTCACTCTTTTAATTACTTTTGACTGGCCTTTTGAAACTTGACTGGACTTGTAAAAGGACTTGAAGTGGACTTCAACAGTCTTCAACACGCTTAAAGTAAAAAGTCTCACCTAGTCCTCAATTCCAACTACACGTTCGTGTAACTTCTGAGTTTTAATTCAAACTTCCAAGGGCATGGCTCTCCCTCAGCTCTCATAAACGAAAGCAAACTCCTTATTTAAACCTTTTCTCCATCATCCGGTCAGTCCCAGTGGGGCACATTGCAGATCATTACTTGTTCTGTTTTCACCGAACCTCGCTTGCCCACGTTCATTAAGATGGACAGAACCAGCAGCCGGCGAAAATTCCCCTGGAACTGGAATAATAGCAATAAATGATGGGATGTGTGCATTGGGGTCCAGGAGGGCCCCTCCACCAAGCAGCTGAAGCAAAGAAAGAAGTCTTTAGTTAGCCTCAGAGTGGTTCCAGGGGGACCAATAAGCTCCTTTCCCCATTCTCTACATCTGCATAGCCCCTGTCTGCTTTGACGATATTTGTTCTCAGTGGTTCGTTAAAACAGATTTCAGCTGAGAAATCACTAGTGCAATCTTTTTTTTTCTTCTTTTTTTTCATTCTCTCTGATGAAAAGTTCACACTGGTTCTTTTGAAAATAAAGGGATGACTTTTAAGTCTCCTTTGAAAAGTTTCAAGTAGCACTGTCAAAATGAAGAATATGAGTGTTGTGGAGGCTTCCGACTCAACACTGACATACAAAGTTATTATTAGATGTTGTCCAGATGCACACATTTCAATTTGGATCTTTTCCCAAGTATTTGGATGCACAGGTGGATTCAGAACCCAATTTTCCAAAAGGGGGAACAGGTTTTTTTCAGAGGGTCCTAAGAATTTTGGTGTTTCTGTATGGTACCTTTTCTGGCATTTCTGAAGGGTGAGGCTGAATTTGGGGGCTTTTTGCACACTTTTGGAAGGAAGGGAAATTACATATTTTTTGTCCCCCTCTCAAATGACCTCTCTTTCAGTTGCCCCCATTTTTATTTGGGGGGGCTATTGTCCCCTTGGTTCATTAGTGTAACAATGTGGATAGGGAGGAGATGACCCCAAAGTTTCCTGATAGTTTCACGTTGTAATCTGTCAAGTCAGCGTAACAAAATTACTGGAAACTTAGGGGTTCCAGTGCGACAGTAAGTTTGGTTGGGCAATCATGGAGAAGGATTTTAATTTTTGTCTCTACCAGTACCCCACCTCTGTCCCACGGGTGCAAGTTTTCTTGTATAGTTTTCTGTGAACCTAGTGAAATGTAACTCTGTAGGCTAGAGAGGCTAGCCCAGCAAGTGTCAGGCTTAAGTCGATACATCCAGTCATAATAGTGGTAGGATGTAAAAAATGGAAGCCTACTGGCATCAGTAACTTATTAACAAATATTTATTCCGCTGAACATTTTTTTCAACCACCGACTGAATTGATTGTGTGAAGCTGTTCTCAGTAATGACTGTTTACAGGTTTTAGCTTAGGGTACTGGGAGGATGCTCCTTTAATGGAAGGGGAGGGCTTGAAGTTGAACATCCCAACTCCTCCCCAGCTTACCCCCCCCCACCAAGGCTCACTCAATTGATTTGAGAAGCAGGACAGGAGGGCAGTTTCGAGAGCTCAGCAGTCTATTTCTTAATCATGTCTTAAGAACATGAACAGTATTTACAACTCATTCTTCATAGAATACAAGCACACAGAAAATCCATTATTTTGAGGACTGAGGCTTTCGCCTTAGCCTGGCAGCCTTGCAGGGTACCGCAAGGTCAGCCGGGAATTAGTT